CAAACCCCCGGGTTTGGGGTTTCGGGGGGGGGGGTTTGGGGTCGTTTCGGGGTTTCCAAACCCCCGCCCCCCTCAAACCCCCGCCCAAACCCCCCCCAAACCCCCCCCACACCCCCAAACCCCCTCAACCCCCTCAACCCCCGGAGTGCCCCTGGCCCCCCTAAACCCCCCTAAACCCCCTAAACCCCCTAAACCCCCTAAAACCCCCTAAGCCCCCTAAGCCCCCTAAGCCCCCTAAGCCCCCTAAGCCCCCTAAGCCCCCTAAGCCCCCCAAACCCCTAAACCCCCTACCCCTAAACCCCCTAAACCCCCTAAACCCCCTAAACCCCCTAAACCCCCCAAACGCCCTAACGCCCTAAACCCCCTAACCCCCTAACCGCCTAAACGCCCCCAAACGCCCCCAAACTCCCCAAACCCCCCAAACCCCCAAACCCCCTAACCCCCTAAACCCCCTAAACCCCCTAACCCCCTAAACCCCCTAAACCCCCTAAACCCCCTAAACCCCCATAAACCCCCTTAAACCCTAAACCCTAACCCCTAAACCCTAAACCCTAAACCCCAAACCCTAAACCCCAAACCCTAAACCCTAAACCCTCGCTTCTTTCAAGGAGCTCTTCGCCGGCAGGGCCATGGAGACCAAAGGGCTCCCGCCAAGTGCAGAGCGCCTCCACCCCCGCATCGGAGGGGGAAGGAGGAGTTGGGGTTTAGGGTTTAGGGTTTAGGGTTTAGGGTTTAGGGTTTAGGGTTTAGGGTTTAGGGTTTAGGGTTTAGGGTTTAGGGTTTAGGGTTTAGGGTTTAGGGTTTAGGGTTTAGGGTTTAGGGTTTAGGGTTTAGGGTTAGGTTTAGGGTTTAGGGTTTAGGGTTTAGGGTTTAGGGTTTAGGGTTTAGGGTTTAGGGTTTAGGGTTTAGGGTTTAGGGTTTAGGGTTTAGGGTTTAGGGTTTAGGGTTTAGGGTTTAGGGTTTAGGGTTTAGGGTTTAGGGTTGAGGGTTGAGGGTTGAGGGTTTAGGGTTTAGGGTTTAGGGTTTAGGGTTTAGGGTTTAGGGTTTAGGGTTTAGGGTTTAGGGTTTAGGGTTTAAGGGTTTAAGGGTTTAAGGGTTTAGGGTTTAGGGTTTAGGGCTTAGGTTTTCGGGTTAAAGCCCTTAAAGCCCTTTCAACCCTAAACCCCTGACCCCTAAACCTCAACCCCCTAACCCCCTAAATTGTAGGGGCTTCGGGTTTATAAGGTTTAGAGTTCAGGGGTTCAGGGGCTCAAGGTTTAGGGGGCTTAGGGGCGAGGGCAGGCCTAGGGGTGTTAAAAGTTGCTTAAATAGCCCTGGTTAGAAGCACCCCGTGAACCTCCGAACATCTTTGCTCCCAGCAAAACGGCCTTCGGAGCTTACACAGCAGAGTTGTTGAAGTAAGGTGCATTCACCAGGGTTCAGGGTTCAGGGTTTAGGGTTCAGGGTTTAGGGTTTAGGGTTTAGGGTTTAGGGTTTAGGGTTTAGGGTTTAGGGTTTAGGGTTTAGGGTTTAGGCGTTAGAGTTAAGGGTTTAGGGTACAGGGTTTAGGCTTTCTGGGTACTCCCAGGGTCGCTGAACCCTGCTGAACCCCCCAAACCCTGAACCCCCAAATCCTACACTCCAAAACCTTACACTCTTTATTTGCACCCCTCAACCCCTAAACCTCTAGACCCTGAACCACTGAACCCTAAGCCCCCTAACTCTATAGACCACTGAGCCCTAAACCCCAAAGCCCTGAACCTCAAGGTCCATCAAAGTAGGCACCCCTAAACCCTAAACCCTAAACCCTAAACCCTAAACCCTAAACCCTAAACCCTAAACCCTAACCCCAAAACCCCGAAGGAGCCAACCTCTGCAGCGGCAGGCGTGTTGGGAAGGAGCCGCCACCGCTTCCCTGAGCACCAAGAATTTTCAAGGGTAAGCTCCCCTTAAAGGACCAGCGACAAGCTTTCTTGGCCCTGAACCCTAAACCCTAAACCCTAAACCCTAAACCCTAAACCCTAAACCCTAAACCCTAAACCCTAAACCCTAAACCCTAAACCCTAAACCCTAAACCTAATTAAACCTAAACCCTAAACCCTTAACCCTTACTTCCAGCTCGGCCCTGAACGCTTGCACCCCGAAAGCCCTCACGAAAACCAGAAAGAATCCCAAATGACAGGTTTAGGGTTTAGGGTTTCGGGTTTAGGGCTTATTGCGCCCCCCAAGCCTCTGATATACCAATAGCTATCTTAGATACATTAAAGCCTTCGATTGCGGCTGAGCAGCTCCCTGCTAGCAACAGGTTCCAGCCCGTCCAGTCGAAATGGTCGGCGTGCCTCAGCTTCACCCCGAAATTCTGATCCGGTCAGCCCTCAAGCCGATAATGTCCCTTTCTATGGGTACTCTGCATACTAGGGGCCGCTTTTGGACCATAGTCTAGAAAGAAGTTGCCATCTGGGGGTTGGAGTTTACGCCTTAGGGGTTGGGTTTGGGATTTGAACCCAATGCCTAAGGATATGTCTGAACCATGAGTTCGCGCCCCAGTCGCGCGAAGTCAAACAGGATTCCGTGATGGAAGAGGTATTGGGTGCGCCGGTCAACTGCACTTGGCCCGCAGTCGCAGTGTCCTCAGACCTGCCCCCCAGCCTGCCTATCCTAAGCACCAGAAATCCCCCAACGTCATGACGCCATATGCACTCGGGCTAGCCTTACAAACCCCAAACCCAGGAACCCTAGATCCCCCTGTCCCAATCTGACAACCCTCAACGCCTAAACGCCTAAACCGCTAAGCCATCAACCCCTGCACCTTTGAGCCTGAAACCCTAAACCCTAAACCCTAAACCCTAAACCCCTTCTGATCCTCCAGACAAGGAGCGTATCGCACTTGGCGCCTGACGAGGTCTTGTGCTGGATCTTGGGCTATATTAAAACGTGGACGCCGAGGCTACCAAAGATTTTAGGGTTCAGGGCTTTAAGAACCTACTGGTTTCTGTTAGGCTGTGCAGTCTTTCGTTCGGCTAGACCACTGCTGAGTTGCGGAGCCCCCTCAGGGGTAACCCTGAACCCAAAACCCTAAACCCTCCCAGGCATGCCCGCCAAAAGCCTTGGGAAGCCTCCAGACACCTTGGGAACCCCTGGCAGCCCTAGCCCTAAACCCTAAACCCTAAACCCTAAACCCTAAACCCTAACCCCTAACCCCTAACCTAAACCCTAAACCCTAAACCCTAAACCCTAAACCCTAAACCTTAGCCCTGGAAGCTTCCCAGGGCTGAGGTTGCAAGCCTCCAAAAGGTTTGGGATGTTCCCCGTTGTACTCACAATCGTGAATAGGGATGATAACAAGGGGTACTATCATCCCCATTAAGGACTGTAAGTATAGGGGGGAACATCCCAAGCCTTAGTTTACCCCTGCGACCTTTTCGCTTGGTCCGGGGGTTGGGTGGGGGTGTCGTATTTTTCCATCTTTAAGGCTAAACACCCTAAACCCTAACCCTAAAGCCTAAACCCTAAACCCTAACCCTGAACCCTCAACCCTAAACCCCCCCACCTGGGCCGAAACCCTGAACCCCCCTCGAGAAGGAAAGGTTTGCTCTCGAAAAGCCTGGAAAGCCTGGTTGGCCTCCAAAAGCCTCCGAAACCCGAATGCTGCCCCCTAAACCCTAAACCCTAAACCCTAAACCCTAAACCCTAAACCCTAAACCCTAAACCCCTTTTAATGCGGCGTGTCCCCGTGCCCTTTCGCAAGATTTCCAACCAAATGGCTCAGGGCTAATTGAGCGTTGCCGAGTTCGGGGTACCTTGTTGGGCTCCCCTTATTATAACAAGGGCTTTCTACTATCTGCGGGTCTATTGTAGGGTTCCCTTATTTTCTTGGGTGCTGAGTTCATAAGCCCCCCAAAAAATGTACACTTTCAGTTCTATAGGGGATTGTAGTATCCCAAAAAGTGTAAAGTGTACTCACTCAACCACTAAGTTTTCGTAGACACCCCAACTCTGGAGCCGTTTTTAGGAGCCACAGCATCCACCCAGCCTTTCGAAGCACCGAAGAGGCAGAGCCTCCACAGGGATCTGCTTGGAGGTCTCATGTGCAGTTTCGGGTTTCGGGTTTAGGGTTTAGGTTTTAGGGTTTGGGGTTTAGGGTTTAAGGTTTCGGGTTTCGGGTTTCGGGTTCGGGGTTCGGGGTTTGGAGTGTGGGGTTTAGGGTTAAGGGTTTCACTTGGCGGTTCACGGATCGCTATAGCTGGGGCATACGCAGGGTGCCTTTCTTTTATGCTTGGTTACAACCTCTTCTTTCGGATGGAACGGGTTGTTCGGTCTTCTTGTAGGTGTAAGGAAGGGCTAGGTCTTCGGTCTTAGAGTTCACCCAAACCCTAAACACCGATACCCTGAAGCCTAGACCCTCCGGGTGATTTTGAGGATGAGAGGTTTAGGAACCGATGTTCAAAACTTCCCGCCTGGACGGCCTCAGGTAGCGCGGGAATCGGTCGAAAAGATCCTCCTGGGGCTCTCCAGAGAACACCAAGACCCCTTAGGCAGGGAACAGCTTTACCGTCGACAATGCGGGGAGGTGTTTTTGTTGAGGGCACTCTTCCCTTTAGGCGTTTAGGCCGAAAGTCAAACAAAGCGCGCATTTTTCCAACCAAAGCCACCGGCCAGTTCAGCCTAGTCTGTGCCTCCCCATGTCCTGGGCATTGGGGGGGCCCGGGAACAACCAGCCATGTCCAGAATGCGGGGGCTTTGGTGTTTAGGGTTTAGGGTTTAGGGTTTAGGGTTTAGGGTTTAGGGTTTAGGGTTTAGGGTTTAGGGTTCAGGGTTCAGGGTTCAGGGTTTAGGGGGAGCAAGGCTTCGTACTTGAAGCGACATTGTCAGCTTGCGCCAATGAGGTCACCGCCCCCAAGTACGCTCTAAGAGTCCCCAACTACCCCCATGAAAGTAGCTACCCTTAGTGAGATCTGGACCCAAGGTGACCTAGGAATCATCAAGATGCCCATTTGATTTCAAGGGGCTTAGACGGGAACCCAACCCTCGAGTAAGGGAATGAGGTCCTTGAGACCGAAGGGCAGCACTTCTTGGGAATTTTAGGGTTTAGGGTTTAGGGTTTGGGGTTAGGGTTTAGGGTTTAGGGTTTAGGGTTTCGGGTTTCGGGTTTCGGGTTTAGGGTTTAGGTTAAGGGATGTTGGAGCCCTCCGCGACTGCTTGGATACTCTCGAGTTTTCAGGCTTTTGGGGCAGTGGAGCCCTTCGAATTTGCCCCCGACTTGGCTCCACCCTAAACCCTAAACCCTAAACCCCAAACCCCAAACCCTAAACCCTAAACCCTAGACCCTCAACCCTAAACCCTACGAAGCCCCGAGCCAGAAGTCTGGCCTTCAGGTACTAAACCTTCAACTCAACTGTTCCTTTGTACCCACGCAAACAATTCTGGTTTAGGGTTTAGGGTTTAGGGTTTAGGGTTTAGGGTTTAGGGTTTAGGGTTTGGGGTTTAGGGACAAGGGACAAGGGTTTAGGGTTTAGGGTTTAGGGTTTAGGGTTTAGGGTTTAGGGTTTAGGGTTTAGGGTTTAGGGTACATATGCATGTGCAAAAAGCTATGCAGGTGCAACAACAGTGCTATACATATAAATAGACATCTACATATACATGTACATGTGCACCTACCTTTACCTCGTGTGGCTTGCTACAACCACGACCGGGCTTGTACACACCTGAACCCCAAAAGCCCAGAGGCCTCCCGACCATATCCCTAGACGACCCATTGACCTGCGACGTGGTCCTAAACCCTAACCCCTAAACCCTAAACCCTGAACCCTAAACCCTAAACCCTAAACACGCTCCTGGAGCGGTAAGGGCAAGCTGGACAGGATCTCCTCCACGAGCTCCTGCACACAGGTCTCTTCGTTTTCGGCCTTAAGCCTGCCTGGCGCACAGCCCCCGACCCCCCCCACCCCACCCACCCCAAGCCTCGAACTCAAGTGAAAAAAATCCGACGACTCGGAAAACCGAATCTTCAGGGTTTAGGGTTAAAGGGGCTTAGGGCTTAGGGCTTAGGGCTCAGGGTTCAGGGTTTAGGGTTTAGGGTTTAGTTTAGGGGATTTAGGTTTGAGGGTTGAGGGTTTAGGGTTTCGGGTGGGAGGGCACTAACTCAAGGAGTCGCTTCGAAGAGGGTGTAGGGAAAGACCGCAGCCCTCAAGCACTGGGAGGGACTTGGGTCTGGGGGATTCCATCTGAAGCTTAGGGCTTAGGGCTTAGGGCTTAGGGCTTAGGGCTTAGGGCTTAGGGCTTAGGGCTTAGGGCTTAGGGCTTAGGGCTTAGGGCTTAGGGCTTAGGGCTTAGGGCTGAGGGCCTTAGGGCTGAGGGCCTTAGGGCTTAGGCCTTAGGGCTTAGGCCTTAGGGCTGAGGGCTTAGGGCTTAGGGCTTAGGGCTTTAGGGCTTTAGGGCTTCAGGGCTTTAGGGCTTCGGGCTTGGGGCTTGAGGCTTAGGGCTTAAGGTTTAGGGTTTAGGCTTTAGGGTTGCTTTCGTGCCCAGCACCTTCTGCTGTTTAGAATGTTCAAGAAACCGGCCATGGCTCAGGCTTGAACCTTCCTAGAGACTCCTCTAAACCTCCAAAACCTCCTAAACCCCCCACTAAACCCTAAACCCTAAACCCTAAAGCCCTAAAGGATAACTCGGCAAATCATGTCGAGACCCCAAGCACAATCAACGGAATACTCCTCAACATATATTGGAACCCCACTTATTGCTGAAGGAATCTTAAAGAGACTCCTCGTCGTTGTCGGGCAGCAGGAATTCCTGGGAGGGTGCTAGAACGTGTTCGGGTTCGGGGCTTAAAGGGCACAAGGCATTTCTTGCGTGACTTGCGCTAACTTTTTAGAGCCAACTTGGGATGCCATCTGAAATCGGGCTCCTGGCTTGCGATGGGCGCCTGTAGCATCCCCAAAAGCTTCAACCCTAAACCCTAAACCCTAAACCGTAAACCATTCCGACCCCCTATCTTAGCCGGGAGGCGCTCAGAAAGGCGGCAGGTCCCGAAATCAGGAGGTCGGCCGCGAAGTCGGCCAGGGGCATCGGCCTTTCCTGCGCGGGCGTTGATGCGGTTTTAGGGTTTAGAGGGTAGAGGGTTTAGGGTTTAGGGTTAGGGTTGAGGGTTGAGGGTTGAGGGTTGAGGGTTGAGGGTTGAGGGTTGAGGGTTGAGGGTTGAGGGTTGAGGGTTGAGGGTTGAGGGTTGAGGGTTGAGGGTTGAGGGTTGAGGGTTGAGGGTTGAGGGTGAGGGTTGAGGGTTGAGGGTTGAGGGTTGAGGGGAGGGGTGAGGGGTGAGGGTTGAGGGTTGAGGGTTGAGGGTTGAGGGTTTGGTTTTGGGCTTAGGGTTAGGGTGAAGGGTTCGGTTCAGGGTTGGCTTCAGGACTTGGGGGTTAGGGTTTAGGGTTTAGTGTTTAGGGTTAGGGTTAGGGTTTAGGGTTTAGGGTTTAGGGTTTAGGTTTAGGGTGTAGGGTTAGGGTTTAGGGTTTAGGGTTTAGGGTTAGGTTTTTAGGGTTTAGGGTTTAGGGGGTTTAGGGTTTAGGGTTTAAGGGTTGGGTCTTTGCAGGAGACGCCAGTTCAGATTAGGTAGCAGGGGGGGGGCGCGATTGCTCGCGATGGCAAGGGGCTCAATGATCAAGGGACTGACGGAGGGACTCTTAGAAGGGACCTTCGGGGGTTCTTTGGGGGTTACTTCAGGGGACTACTTAGGTATATAGGGACGATAAAAGGTATGGATGGGGGTCTGATTAGACCCTAAACCCTAAACCCTAAACCCTAAACCCTAAACCCTAAACCCTAAACCCTAAACCCTAAACCCTAAAGCCCGAACCCAAAACCAGGGTCTCTCCTTATGCCCCTTAAAATGAGCTGCTGTAGGCGGCTTGCATGGAATCACGCACGGCGCAGGACAGGCCAAGGTGGAGGAAACCCTAAACCCTAAACCCTAAACCTTAAATCCTAAACCCTAAACCCTAAACCTTAAATCCTAAACCCTAAACCCGATAAGGTCCCCACAGGCCTGTCGGCCATGCGCACTTGTGCTCCTTGGGCAGGAGACTCCAGGCATTTGGGGGCTGGCCGTTTTGCTAAGAGGCTTCTTTTTTGACCGTTTCTAATATTTGTAAGATGGCAGCAAATCAGGCAAATGTTCCTTCAAAACTCTTCTGCGTCCAGGGGTTCGACATCCGACATTCTTGTTCGGCTAGACTGATTTGAGCGGGTTCTACATAGGGTTTAGGGTTTAGGGTTTAGGGTTTAGGGTTTAGGGTTTAGGGTTTAGGGTTTAGGGTTTAGGGTTTAGGGTTTAGGGTTTAGGGTTTAGGGTTTCGGGTTTAGGGGTTTCGGGTTTAGGTGCAGGGTGCTGCATGGCCACTTTCTCGGGTAGGTGGTATAGGGGTGCATGGGGTTTCAGCTTCCGTTCCCTGATGAGTATCCCAAACTTGCGGGTCTTTTTGGTGCCCTTCGCATTTGGTGAGGGTTTAGGGTCTAAGGTTAGGGTTTGGGGTTGGGGGTTGGGTTTGGGTTTTAGGGTTTAGGGTTTAGGGTTTAGGGTTTAGGGTTTAGGGTTTAGGGTTTAGGGTTTAGGGTTTAGGGTTTAGGGTTTAGGGTTTAGGGTTTAGGGTTTAGGGTTTAGGGTTTAGGGTTTAGGGTTTAGGGTCAGCATCAGCCCCTAAAACCCCTGAGAACCGTCTGATCGCGACCCAAGCGGCTGCACTGCAACCTCGCAGCGACCGCAGGAGGCGAGGAGCCTGTAGGATTTCAGGTTGAACGAGGTTTAGGGTTTAGGGGTTTAGGGGTTTAGGGGTTTAGGGGTTTAGGGGTTTAGGGTTTAGGGTTTAGGGTTTAGGGTTTAGGGTTTAGGGTTTAGGGTTTAGGGTTTAGGGTTTAGGGTTTAGGGTTTAGTTTTAGGGTTTAGGGTTTAGGGTTTAGGGTTTAGGGTTTAGGGTTTAGGGTTTAGGGTTTAGGGTTTAGGGTTTAGGGTTTAGGGTTTAGGGTGGTTTAGGGTTTAGGGTGCAGGGTTTTGAGCTGAACAGGGCCTAAGGTTCAAGACTTCGGGGATACGAGGCCTGGACAACCACCGACCCAGCACATCGGCTGGCACCGCACCCACCACGGAAAGAGGCTCCTCCAGGGTGGGCTTAAGATTTATGGTTTCGGGTTTAGGGTTTAGGGTTTAGGGTTTAGGGTCAGGGTTTAAGCGGGGCAATGGAGTTTGGGGTTGTTTCAGGGTTTGTTTAAGCACTTGGGGCGTGACTGTAGGCTGTGCGTGCCTCAGCCAACGGCAAGGCTATGGCCATCTTGCATGTGTGGAGGTTGACGAGGCCCAGGGTCCGGGGATTGGAGCTTAGGGTTTGGGGTTTGGGTTGAGGGTTCAGGTTTGGGGTTTAGGGTGTTTAGGGTTTAGGGTTTAGGGTTTAGGGTAGAGGGTTTAGGGTTTAGGGTTTAGGGCGTTTAGGGTTTCGGGTTTGGGGTTCCTACCATCGCAGGCGTGCAAGCAGCTCTGACGCACAGGAGCTTGGAAAGGGTTGCACAAAGGGCGTGATGAAGTCGAGAAGATACCTTTGCCTCAAGACTCCCATGCAGTTCCTTCTGAGGCTAGTCGTAACTCCTATCCTAAACCCTAAACCCTAAACCCTAAACCCTAAACCCTAAACCCTAAACCCTAGACCCTAAGACCCTAAGACCCTGAGAACCACGTCCACATCTGGGGAGCTAGACCCACTCAGTCCTCGATGACGGCGCATCCTGATCTTGCAGAACTGCAAGCGGCTACTGGGAGGTTCATGAGACGGTGAACCACTTATAACTTCTAAGGGGTTTAGGGTTTAGGGTTTAGGGTTTGGGGTTTGGGGTTTAGGGTTTAGGGTTTAGGGTTTAGGGTTTGGGGTTTGGGGTTTGGGGTTTGGGGTTTAGAGTTTAGGGTTTAGGATAACTGTACTGATAAATGTACTTATAACCTAAACCCGGGAGTAACCTAGGAATAAAAGGATGCCCTTTCTGGTGTTAAGGGGATTATAAGGGAACCCCAACCCTCAAAAAAGGAAAAGAGGGCCTACTCCCGGCCCTAGTAGCTGTACTTATAGCCAGATTAGGGCACTTAAGGGCGTTCTACGTACAGTTATAGTTGGCTAATGAGTACCATGGACCTCCAAGTACATTTCGAAATAATTATTAGTAGCATTCCCCTATGGTCATTAGATAATAAATATACCAAAACGCTCCCAAAACCCTCCTCTAGTTCCTCAGGCCCCACCGGGCTTTGAAAACGTAACGTTCAGGTTTTAGGATTCGAGGCTTTCAGAAGTATATTCCCTAAACGCACTAAACCCTAAACCCTGAACCCGAAACCATGTAAACCCTGCTTGTGGGCTCAGGTAGCAAGGACATGTCGGTTAGGTAGCGGAGGCCGCGAGGTGGCGAAATCGTCCAATGTCTGAACCTCCCTTCTGGCATTCTTGAGATACCCTAAACCCTAAACCCTAAACCCCAAACCTGAAAAAAGCAACGCGCCCTATGAGTCTAAGTGCCCCTAAGCCCTGAACCCCAAAAAATTCTCCAAGCCCTTGCCAAGTTCAGCCGAAAGGCGTGGGAACTGGAGGGCCGAAACTGCTCGCACTCTTCCTTTGGGATGTGCTGGGGTCAAGGGGCTAAAGAAGGGACCCATGTTAAGGGACCTTAGGTGTTATTTTTTTAGGGGCTATAGGAACTATATACCTTAGGGTTTATACAGGGGAATAAATTCTCTTAGCCATAAACCCTAAACCCTAAACCCTAAACCCTAAACCCTAAACCCTAAACCCTAAACCCTAAACCCTAAACCCTAAACCCTAAACCCTAAACCCTCAACCCTCAACCCTCAACCCTCAACCCTCAACCCCAAACCAAACCCTAAACCCAGAGCCTAAATAGTCCCCATAAGGTCCTTAGGCTTGTTGGGGGCTTTACTTTAGCAGGTGCAAGGCTTTCGTCAAGGAGTTTGGGGCTTCAGGGGGCCTGGTGCTAAGGGCTTTCGAACTTCAGACTTTTGGGCTTTTTTAGGGCTCCTGAGCCCTAAACCCCAAAACCATAAACCCTAAAGCCTGAAGCCTAAAGCCTAAAGCCTAAACCCCAAAACCATAAACCCGAAAGCCTAAAGCCTAAGGCCTAAAGCCTAAAGCCTAAAGCCTAAAGCCTAAAGCCTAAAGCCCAAAGCCTAAAGCCTAAACCCTAAACCCTAAACCCTAAACCCTAAATCCAGAAACAAGGCAAGCTGCTCGGCTCGCTGGCGTCGCTGGCGTGCATGTGCCCCGAACGGGCGGGGAACAAACATGGCTCTTCTGGGTCCCAGGGTTTCTTCAGTAGCCCTAAACCCTAAACCCTAAACCCTAAAGTAACCATGTTTGCAACAGGGGCACGCTTTCGTTGGGGTTGGTTCCTGTATAAGGGAGCCCATGACGAAATAAGAGGCAGCAGGGTGCCGATGGGCTGCCAGGGTTTAGGGTTTAGGGTTTAGGGTTTAGGGTTTAGGGTTTAGGGTTTAGGGTTTAGAGTTTAGGGTTTAGGGTTTAGGGTTTAGGGTTTAGGGTTTAGGGTTTAGGGTTTAGGGTTTAGGGTTTAGGGTTGGGGATTGGGGTTTAGGGTCTCCACATGCAACTGTATGCCAGTCCTCAGCCCACACCACCAAGTCACCATGACCAACGCCCTAAACCCTAAACCCTTAAAACCAAACCCCAAACCCCAAACCCCAAACCCCAAACCCCAAACCCCAAACCCCAAACCCCAAACCCCAAACCCCAAACCCCAAACCCCAAACCCCAAACCCCAAACCCCAAACCCCAAACCCCAAACCCCAAACCCCAAACCCCAAACCCCAAACCCCAAACCCTAAACCCTAAACCCTAAACCCTCAACCCTGCCCTATGCCCCTAAACCCGAACAGCGCCAGCACCACGCAGTGCAGGAAGGCGCACGTGCCTCAAACCCTGTGAATGTCCCTATACCCCCCTAAACCCTAAACCCTAAACCCTAAACCCTAAACCCTAAACCCTACAGCCTGAATCCTAAACCCCACGCCGAGCGCTCGGGGGTTTATGTCTAGGAAACTAGTTCGGACTGTTGGGTTCTGTGCCCCCCCCCCCCTAAACCCTAAACCCTAAACCCTAAACCCTAAACCCTAAACCCCAAACCCTAAACCCTCAACCCCATCTAAGCAACGGATGGGCGACGGTCAATTCTACTCAACGCCTCCGCCCAAAAGAAAATTCCAGCCTCATCTTCCATAGTTGGTCCGGGTTTGGGCCGGGTTTTAAGTAAACCCTAAACCCTAAACCCTAAACTCTGCACTGGGGCTTTCGGCTTTGAGACCTTAGGTTTTCAGGGCCCGACTGCGAAAGACGAAACGAAACCCTGTGCAGTTGAGGGTTTAGGGTTTAGGGCTTAGGGTTTGGGGTTTGGGGTTTTTGGGTTTAGGCTTCAGGGCTTGCGGGCTTAGGGGTTCCCGGCAACAAGGCTGCCAGCAGCACAGGCTCCGAACGCGTCGGGTAGATGATCCGACCCTGGATCAGGGGTTTGGGCTTAGGGTTTATAGGGATTTTCAGGTGTGCTTGAAGGTTTGTGGGTACTCAGAAATAGGGTTAGAAATGCCCTAAACAAGGTCACAGCCATGGTTTCCCTGCTTTAGGCTTCAGGACAGGGCTTAGGGCTTCAGAGCTGTTCAGGGTTTTAAACTCCCCCAAAGATGTTCCCTTTCTGGTATAGGCGGGCCTTCATCAGAGTGAAAAAAAACCCACACTTCGGGATCAGCTTGGGTTAACAGAAACCCTAAACCCTAAACTTGGGTTCGGCCGGTCCACACTAACAGTCACCACCAGCAGACCCACAAATAAAAGCACCTGGTAAATGCCAAAAAATGACTGGGATTCCTGGTGCTATTCCTGGTGCTATTCCTTATGCTATTTCTGGTGCTATTTCTGGTGCTATTTCTGGTGCAATTTCTGGTGCTGTTTCTGGTGCTATTTCTGGTGCTATTTCTGGTGCTGTTTCTGGTGCTGTTTCTGGTGCTATGTGACTAGCAGTCACCATCAGCAAACCCACAAGATACTATGTGCGCACGTGCAGTCTGGCAAAATGCGGCGTCGAAAAATGGCCCAAATATTGGTCCCCGGCAACTCCTTCCTGGCCAACCTTGCTGATGTCCTCCGGTAACTCCGACCCGGACCCCCTTCTTGTCGACCCATGAGCAGGACCACCCAAGCGGCAAGGGCACTTTGGAGCCCTGCGAAACCGCTACTGGGGCACTTTGGCATGATTTTGGTGGTTATACGAATTACAGCAGCGGTAACCCGCAACATACTTGGAAATACCTGGCTTTCCTGCACCCCAAACTGGGGCCGCTGGTAAGGAACCGTGGAACAACAACAGTTGAGATCTGGCCAACCACCATCTTGCCGCCGGCCTTAAGATGACAGAGTCCCCCTCCAGAGACCTCCCTTACCAGTTTGGGCAAGTGCCCACCCTTCAACAGCGGAAATCTGGCCAAACGCCGTCTTGCAGCGACTTGGCACGACCTTCTGCGTCGGTGCAAAAGGAACGTCAAAGTAGCCCGTCGGCATCGCGCCCCAAAAAACCCGGACTCTGTGGCTTAACTCTTCAGCCCCCCTGCTCTCTGGCTGACGTCTCCAGGCCCCTCTCTGGCTTGAGCCTCCAGGCCCCCGGACTCTCTGGCTGGAGTGTCCCAGGCCCCGCACTCGGCTAAAGTCTCCAGGCCCCCCAACTCTCTGGCTTAAGTTTTCAGGCCCCCCAAACTCTCTCAGCCCCCTAAGTCTCCAGGCCCCGGACTCTCTGGTGAGAGGGCATCGCCCCTTCTGCTTGGGAGTCCCGAGATGGAGGGCAGTTTTCCCTCATGTTTGGTGTTCAGGTGAAGGGCCTCTAATTTTTCGTGCTTCTGGAGGGTTTCAGGGTGGCAGTGAAGGGCCTCTAATCTTTTCTGCTTCCGGGAAGTCCCACATTGGAGCAGTGAAGGGCGTAAATCCTTCATGCTTGTGGGGGGGTCCCAGCGCGGGAGGAAGGTGGTTCCAGGGTGGAAGCAGCGAAGGGGCCTCTAATCCCTCGTGCTTCGTCCCAGGGCGGGAGGGCTTCAAGAGGGCAGTGAAGGGCCTCTGATCCTTCTGCTTCCGGGGTCCCAGAATGAGAGCAGGTGAAGGGCTTCTAATCCCTCGTGCTTCTGGGGGGGGCTCAAGAGGGCAGTGAAGGGCCTCTAATCCTTCTGCTTCCCCAGGAGGCCCCAGGGTGCCAAGTGAAGGGCTTCTAGTTTTTCGTGCTTTCATAGGGGGAACGAGCATGTGTTCCTTGAAACTGTGAGTGGACCACGCGTCAAAACCAAGACCAGACTTTGAGCACAGGAGAGGCCCTCCGAGCTCTCCTACGAGTTGTACAGAAAGACAACTCCTGCAAGTGGAGCTTCAAGGCGCACAGACGGAGATGGCCAAGCTTCATGAGAGGAGAGGCAATTGAGTTGCTTCTATGCACACGCAATCTCCAACGTCTTGTGAGACGAAACCAAATGCACAACACCACGGGCATTACTGCGCCAGAAACAACAGCTTTGGCATGAGAGCGCCTGAAGCATGGACGACGCTACGGTCTGGGCATGGATACACTGTGGAGGTCACCACGTACGTGGCTAAGTCAAGTGAGACATTTGGCCGTGGAAAAACCCCGGCTCAGGGCAACGCAACACAAGCCGAACCTGGACCTGACTTGGAGCTGGAACACCCCAGGGTAACCCGCACAGGTGTCCAGAGTCCTCCAGTGAGCGTCCCGACGCCGAGCGGACAGCCTGTGCGCCGGTGAGAGCTTCCCAAGGCGCAGCATCATCGGCAAAAAAAGGGGGAGGGGTGCACGAGCAAGATGAACACCGTCCTGAGCCACGGCGGATAGGAGCAAAAAAAGGGGAGAGGGGTTTGAGCAATGGTGAGCATCAGCAAACAAAAAGGAGGGGCGTCAGGTACTTGCAGGCAAAGCCGCTTCCCCTAGCCCCTTGAGCCCTAAAGTCTTCTTCTGCTGTCTTCTTCTGGCATCTCCACTTGCAGGCGGGGTGAGATGTCCATGGCTCGCGCTCCCCGCCAGGGGTGTGCAGCTCCCGCTCGACATCCCATCCCTCACCCTTCCCACACAGACGCAAGGCGGCTACCTAGGGGAATGGTAGGGGTTCGGGACCTAGGGCCTAGGGACAACCGGGCAGTGGAAAGATGAACACTCTTGCACGCAACAGGCTGTCTGTGACACTGTGCTAGGTGTGCCAGAAGCGGCGTGAAGCCAACTGGACACGTAAAAGCCAGACAGCTATCGAGCTTGCAACATGCCTTTTTCGAGACGATGGTGCTCAAGCCTGTGCACGTTTGAACGCAACAGCTGGCATCTGTCAGAAGCATGGAAGCTGCCCGCGTACTGTCAACCACAAACCACTGGAACATGTGTACAATTGGCATGCGCCTTCCCAATCTGATGTACTCAGGCTTATGGAAGACATAGCTGACAGCTTCGGAAGAAAGGATGCAGGACATGTGAACGATGCACAGGACGGAGAGCAACAAGTCTGGAAATCCAAGGTTGTCGCCTGCCTGTTGCCTGGATTAGGCGTGCACCCGATGGCAAGCAGCAGTTTTCCTGTCGCACATCAGTTGAGCCCGACTTGGCTGGGCATGACAAGCCAGAGCACGCGGGCATTCGCAGGCCTCAGCACACGCGCGGCCGCGGCCCGCCCTCCCGCCCAAGCCCCCTCCCACCGCCCTACATGCTTGAAAAAAAGCGGGCGCGGTTCAAAGCAAGCTCAAAAATCAAGAAAACATGTCAAAAATCACGCAACTCCAAACAAGCGAAAAACACAACAAAACACTGCAACTGTTGGTGATATCTAGATAGTTTGACAAGCCCGAGCCGTTCAGAACGAAGGACAACACTTCCAAAACATTGTTGCATGTGGAAAAAGCCTTTTTCTGCTCCAACTTGAAAGGAAAAACAGTTATTTGTATTTTTCAATCGGTTCTTGAGCCAGAGCTGCCTCCTGGCGTCCATTTCTGCCCCCAAAAGCGGCTTGCCCAAAAATGGTCGCAGAGTCTTCCCCTATCATTATATGGCTTCGTGGTTTAGGCACAGAGCACAGACAGAGTTCCGGCTTCTTGGCTTTCACGTCTCATACAGCGGCTGCTTGCAGTCTATACAGATTGAATTACCTTCGAGCCACTCGCGCTCCTCGCTCTGCAACTCCTCCAGCTCACGCAGCCAAGAGTTCGACGTCAGAATCATAGCGACGTTGTAGACATACACACT